CAGTGAGGTAAGTTTGCCTGCAGCTCGTGTGCCGGCACAAATGGCTCCGTGTGCCACCTGTGGTTTGTGTGCCATAGGTTTGCCATCATGGCCCTAACCTGTTAATGTCTGGGCAGAGCTGTGGCGGGGAGGGAGGGCAGGAGGCTGGTGTGGCTGCGGTTGTGAGCCTGCAGCACTGATGATGCGTCTCTTCTCTTCTAGAGCACCACCAAAAGTGACAGGAACACAGGTGAGTGGGGAGAGGGAACCTGGGCTGCAGGAAGAGAATCCTGGGAAATGGGGTTCGGGGGCAAGAAGCAGCTCCAAAGGACACTTGCTCGACCTTGTCGCCCTCCGCTTGTGTCCACTCAGCTGGACGGATGCTCTTTCCAAAGCCACCGGCCCTTTGGGAATTTCCTTTTGTCTGAAGGCCCTTGGCTGCTTCTGCTGAAGCCACTGAGGAATTGTGGGGAGGGGGCCAATCAACTTTGGGGGCAGGCAGTAATTTCTGACCCTTGAACTCCCCAAAGCAAACTCCATCCCACTTCAGGGGGGGTCTCAGGTGCAGCTGCGTGCATCGTCACCCATTAAAAGGAGGGGGCCAGAAACCTCGGAACTGAAGACACGGGGGGGAGCCAGAGTCCATCAGAGCAGACAAGTCGGGACAGCTGGCTAGAGGGGGTCCTCATCACCCTTCTTCTTCCTTCAGCTCTATGCTCTTCACACCCCGATCTTGAATCTGTGGTCAGTTAAATGGAGTGGAGAGAGAGATTGGGGGGGGGTTCAAGGCTGGACTACGCCAGGGCCGGCCCTGTACAGGTATCCTTGACTTACGACCACAATGAAGCCCGAAATTTCCATCGTTAAGCGAGACAATCGTCAAGTACATTTTGTCTCATTTTACGACTTTTCTTGCCACGGTCGTTAAGCGAATCTGGCTTCCCACGCTGACTTTGTTTGTCAGAGGGCGAGAGAAGGGGATCATGTAATGCCGCCCCCCCCCCGAATGCAGCGACCGTCATAAATACGAGTCCGTTGCCAAGCATCTGAATTTTGATCCCGTGACCCTGGGGATACGGCAATGGTCGTCAGTGTGAAAAACGGCCACCAGTCGCTTCTTTTCAATGACATTGTAACTTCGGCCACTAAACGAACCCTTGTAAGTTGAGGACTACCTGTATTACAGAGGCCCTGGTTTTGCCCTGGGAAGAACCTGGAATCCACTTTGTACTCCGATGCAACCCCAGAGTTGCTGAAATTCTGTTTCGTGCTGATGGGGGACTCAGAGGCTGCAGGGGGCACGGGCTGAAACACAGGTAGTCCTCAACTTATGACCACAATGGAGAGTCCCCAATTTTTGTTATTAAGTGAGTTTTGCCCCATTTTATGACCTTCCTTGCCACGGTTGTTCAGCGAATCGCTGCTGTTGTTAAGTTTGTCACACAGTTGTTAGGTGAATCTGGCCTCCCTGTTGACTTTTCACATCCGAAGGTTGCAAAAGGGGACCACGTGATCCCAGGACCGTCAATATGAATTGGTTGCCAAGCGTCTGAACGTAAATCATGTGACTCCAAGGATGTTACAACTGTCTTAGGCCCCTTTTTTCTGTGCTGTTGCAACTTTGGTCACTAAACGAACTGTTATAAGTCAAGGACTACCTGTATTCTTCTAGAGAAAAGAAGGCCCAAGGGGGACATGATAGCAATATTCTAGATTTGAGGGGCTGCCAATAAATTGACCCACCCAAAGAGGAGGGGTAGTCAACCTATTTTTCACAGCACAGTCTCTCTTCAAAGAGATTGGACAACCATTTGTCTGAAATGGTACAGGGTCTCCGGCTTGAGCAGGGGGTTGGACTAGAAGATCTCCAAGGTCCCTTCCAGCTCTGTTCTGATTCTGACTTGTGACATTTATTTATCCAATGAAGTGGCCGCCCATCTTACCGCAGGGAGTAACCCTGGGCGGCTGACCATATGAAACCTCTGCTTGTCTGTGTCTGTGGCTCTAATTCTTTTCCTTGCACAGAAGGCAGAGGCCACCGGGAGAAGTTGGAGCTGGTGGCCTCCTTCTCCTTCTTCGGGAACGTCATGTCCATGGCCAGTGTGCAGCTCGCAGGGGCCAAAAGGGACGCTCTCCTGCTCAGCTTCAAGGATGCCAAGGTCAGTTGTGGCTCTGTGTGTGTGTGTGTGTCTGTAGGGGAGGAGAGGCAGAATAAACCAGGCTATTGGGAGACCTCTGCTTCTGGAAGAGGGAGGGGGCAGCCCCAGGGTTTAAGAGCTCTTGCTCAGAAATGAATTACAGAGTATTTTTATTATCTATCTATCATCCCTATCTATCTATCTAACTATCTATCTATCTATCTATCTATCTATCTATCTATCTATCTATCTATCTATCTATAGTATCTATCTATAGTATCTATCTATAGTATCTATCTATCTACTATTTGTATCTTCTATTCTACTTTGTCTCTGTCTATCTTCTATTTGTATCTATCTATCTATCTATCTATCTATCTATCTATCTATCTATCTACTATTTGTATCTATATCTTCTATTCTACTTTGTCTCTGTCTATCTTCTATTTGTATCAATCTATCTATCTATCTATCTATCTATCTATCTATCTATCT